AAGAAAATGTGAAGTTAAAATCTATTTGCAACTTTTCTCTACGTTAGAGGGCGGATTCCCCTTGGCAGTTTTCATTTAGTTGATGGTTTCTTGATTTCAAAGTCTCTCCAATTCCATTTTTCCCCCAACTTCTACGGACTCCTTTGTCATTTTCAAGATTTTTTAGATAAAGTTAAAAGTACTTTGAGACATATAACCAAGGAATGTATTCCGTTGAGAAGCAAGTGAGGGCATCTTTGGTCATTTTCATGTTGAGTTTTAGGTTCGATATTTTCTCATTCTCTTAATATAGATATTAATATTATCAATGTAATTATTATTATTATTATTACTTAAAAACAATAGCGTTAATACCAAGACTGTTTTTCCCTGGCCATTCCGTTTTACTCGAGGATCAAGATATTGGGGCAAACCATGAAGAATCTTACTCGGCTAAACTAACCAAATTTTTTTGTTTACCCAGATGCCAAAATTGCAGATTAGAAAAAGTGAGGCAGAAACTTATTGGAGTGGTGAAATGCAGCCATTGCGTCTTGGTCCACCACCCCCTCCCTCCGTTCCATCCCCAAATTCCAAACCACTTTTGCCTTTGGCGTTTTCTTGACAACAAATATATATTTTTTTTTTTCAAATGCTTAAGTTGTCTTTGGAATTGAGGTTGCACACAATATCATATTAAAAATGTTAATTTATTATGATTAAATTAATTTTAATTGGTATTTTTTATAATTTAATAATTGTATAATTTATTATGATTAAATTCATTATACATCCAATTAAGTTTCGATTAAAAAACCAAAATAGTTAAGTTATAATATTTTTATATTATAATGTTTATATATAATGTGATGTCAAAAGGATGAGTTATAATATTGAAATAAGTGTTTATAACATGGATGTTTAAAAAATTAGAAGGAAAATATCCCATAACTATCATTTTATTAAAGCATTGTGAGAAAATATGAAAATAATTTTATTTTTCTTTAAAAATATATTATTTTAATTTTTTTAAAGGAGAGGTTAATAAAATGATGTAGTTTTATGGTATTTTTTTAAAACAACTAATCAATCTTAAAGTGTGCGAAGGGTGAACTAAATACAATTAATGGTAAATATCAAAGAAAAAAAGAAAAATATTATTTATGTAATAAAAATGATATAAATTTAATATTATGTGATATTATAAGTTTATAATATAATATATTATTATATAATTATTTATTTTTATATTATATATACTTATTTATTAATATTTTACATTTATTTAATTTTATGTTATAATTATGAATTTATAATCTTATATGATTTTCTAATGATGTAGTATTATTTTACAAAACAAAAAAAAAAACACGATAAAGTATTATGAAATACATAATATCAACGACCTATTGATTCAAGTGGAAGGAATTTGATTTTTTTAAAATAAGGTTTCAAGTTCAAGTTTTACGAATGAAGAGATAAGTGTTGAGAGAGTTTCTTTCTTAATGTGGTCCAATGCAGTTCGATTTTAAATTAATCAAAATTTAATATAATTACTGAATATAGAGAAATTAATAAAAAAAATTATGAGCTTATGAGTCACGTAACAATGCAAATATTTGAGTAACTTGATTAAAAATAATAATAAAAAAAACCGACAGACACAAGTCAAATTGAAGGAGCAGCGCCCTATGACATAACGCGGACCCGCGTCACTCCAAACATCCACCTTGGCTAAATCCACGGGTCAAGGTAGGGTTGGTTACTAAACTCCTCCAAACTATATATGAGTCTCCGCGTCTCAGGACTGATCCACTCTATATGAAATCTTGGACGATTCCGATAATCTGATCGTCTTCTTCCTCCAAACTCCTCCCAAGATCTCTCCGACTCAGTCCACACGGTGAGCATTTCAGTTCAGTTTTTGTTTCTGTTTTTTTTTTTTTTTTTTTTTCTCTTCAGCGATGGAATTCGGTTTCTATTTGGTTTTTCCGTGTTTGAATCAGATGTCATCGGAGGTGCAATCTAGATATGTGAAGCTGACTAAGGATCAGGCGCCTTTGCAAGAGATTAAGCCCGGCGAGCTTAATCAGCCTATTGAAGTTCCTCAGGTTTCCCTTTTGTTTATCTGTTTTATCTAGATCGGCCTCTAGTCTTGAAAGCCTCTACTGTTTCTATTTTTCAATTGTAGTGATTCAACTTTGTTGAAAATTGGATTTCTTAAACCTTGTTACGTTTCTGCCAAACAAGATTGAAATTATCTTGTGGCATCTAACATTTTATGAGGGACTTTTATGAAGGTGTATATGAAAATGCTGCCTTCTGTACTTAGTTATTTTGTATCATCCTTTCGTAGCTCATAGATCTAGTGCACAATTCTTTAAGGGAATGGTTAAAAAGCTTGGAAGTTGAATTTAGTGTAATGAATATATATGGGTTTTCATGAATGTGGAACGAGTTGGTGGTTATCCAATGAAATGCAGATGATCTAGAATTCTGTGATACAACATGAACACGTTGGCCATAAGTAATCATTTTATGCACTTCTATCAAAATTCATAATGTTGATGCTAACTGGATTACGGGCACAACCATTGCTCAGTTGAAGGTACGAAAGTGCAACGAATGTGGGCAGCCTTTACCTGAAGACTTTAAGCCTCCAGCAGATGAACCATGGACAACTGGGATTTTTGGCTGTGCGGAAGATACAGAAAGTTGTAAGTTGATGTCTTTGTATATTGGCTCTGATTTATGCTTTTCCGGTAAAGAAATTAACAAAAGATTTTGTTGGTTTCCTTTTATCATGTATCCAGTTTTATAAATAAGATGGAAAAAACACTTTTTCAAAACTCTTAGATATCAATCTGGTCCTTTGTTTTCTTTAAAAACCTGGGACTGAAGTTTAGGAGTGAATGATGATAACCTACCTTAAGCTTTAAGATAAGGAAAGTTATGTGCCAAACTATCAAGGACATCTCACATTGTCCCAATTTCAGTGCTCAAAGTAATATTGATGCTAGCATTGGGCATTTACTACTACCAATATGTTAAATTACTGTAAGATCCTTTGTGAAGTTGATAATATGTGTTGGCATTTTGACTGCATCTGCAGGCTGGACAGGACTATTTTGTCCATGTGTTCTATTTGGGCGTAATGTTCAGAACTTGAGAGATGATACCCCATTGACTACACCATGCATCTGTCACGCTGTTTGTGTTGAAGGTGGTATTGCACTGGCAGCAGCAACAGCAGTCTTCTATGGTATTGATCCGAGGACTTCATTTCTAATATGTGAGGGCTTGTTTTTTGCTTGGTGGACGTGTGGCATATACACTGGTCTTGTTCGGCAGTCCTTACAGAAAAAGTATCATCTCAAGGTAGTCTCAAATTTTACTTTGTTAATAAGCACTTGGTTTAAAAGATATTAGTCATTTATGTCAAGATGAACCTTAACAAATTTCACAGATTCTTTTAGTACAGATCATATTTTATTGGATTCTTTTAGTACATCATATTTCATTTATGTCAAGATGAGGTGACATGCCGTGACAATATTTTGTATTTTTACCTGTTGGGACCGAGTCCTTTGTTGTGCATGTCCAAAGTCTGACAATACTCTTGCATTTTCATTTATTGGCCTGCCACCCTAAAACTTTTGGTAAATGCAGAACTCGCCATGTGATCCCTGCTTGGTGCACTGCTGCATGCACTGGTGTGCCTTGTGCCAGGAGCATAGAGAGATGAAGAACCGCTTGTCAGACAACTTTGTAATGCCAGTCACGATCGTCAACCCTCCTCCTGTTCAAGAGATGAACTCTGCTACTGAAGACCAGGATTCAACACCACCCACCGGAAACAGAACCGTGTTGGAGATGCAGCCTCTATAAAGATCTTTACAGAAAGGCACAATTAGGAAAATTTGCTACAAACATTGATGGCTTCATTGTACAGCCCTTGCAATTTTTAAAGGCGAAAATTATACTAGTGGTCCAAAACAATGTTTTTTTTT